CTCTCTCTCTCTCTCTCTCTCTCTCTCTCTCTCTCGATTGAAGACATGACTAGAGTCTCGGTTTGTGGGTGTTTTATGTTTTTCATCTCTCATATATTCAGCGTAAAAGTCATTTAAATCTCTTTTTTGAAAAGTATTTCTTTTGATACATTGAATATAATATGTCATTGATTTTGAACTCATATTTTAAGAACAATTTTCACGACTTATGCTTTTGTATCACTTTTTCTTATTTTTAATACCATATTATATAATACATATTGTTATCCATATATTTTGATTCATATTCTTGGAAAAAGTGTTAACTATTGAGATATCTTTGTAATTATGAGCTTATGTTCCCTTTTGGATGCATTCATTTGTTTGTAACACTTTTGGCTCCAATTTATGAGTTTTAAAAAATAACAAATATAAAAATTATATACAATTTCTGTAAACTCAACTTTTTTACAACTACTAAACAACTAGTGTTTTGTTGTCTTTTTCTATGAAATACCACCTGTTCTTCGATTCATATCTAAAACGATAAATGTATTAAAACACCGATATATCAGTCCTTAAAATAAATGTATATTAATATGCATTTTATGGTAATTCTTCGCGAATGCATTCAAAATGAAATTTAAAATATATTAAAACCAACAATAAAAACGAATCACAATTATTATCAATACTAAATATATGTGTATTTTTTTATTTTCTTACATATTATTAACATTAGATAAAAAGTTTTAAAAAACTATTTATAGATTCCAAGAATCGATAACTATTTTTAAGATAATGACTGCCATTAATCCTAAAGACTAAACGTTAATAAATTTATTGATTTCTATTTGCAGCCAAAGATGTCATCCAATGGTGAGGAAGGAGTGATGGAATATGTATTGCATGTATTTTAAGCTTTCAAAGAGTCTCTTATCAACAATTTTTTCGAAAACATATTTCTTAATACATAGAAAGAAATGAATTGTCAAAATTCAAAATCATGTTTTGAGAAAATATATTTTTAAAATTATGCATTTTTTGATAAATTTTTTCTCTGTTGTTATGTTCGCTAACATTAGCTATACGTTAGTTATACTCACAAAACAATTTCCTATTCTTTTGGCCGCTTTTCGTGAAATACAAGAAAGAATATTAATATAAGAATAAAAATTTCTAATAAATATAATTTTGTTTTTTACTCTTCAGACGAGTTCTTGAAAAACATAAGTAGAGTTCAGACAAACGCAGAGAAAATGTATTTTCCGATTCATGGCGTTTGTGAGCAGGTTTTTAAGGCCTCTCCGATCGTTAGTCTGATTGTTGGCTCGTTTTCTTACTTTAGTTATTCAGTCTTACGTATAGTTTCATAATATTTATCACATAAACAAAAGTCATTAGAAAAATCTATTCTTAACGGTAAAGACTCACAATTTAATTATACCATAACTTATGCGATAAATATTCACCAAAAATATTTGTCCCAATTTATAGTTTGTTTAAAGAATTTAAGTCAAAGTATTATATTTCTAGTGATTAGTTGTCATTTGAGATGAAATTTCTTTAGTTTTTGTGACTCTTGTTCTCTCAAGCATTGCATGACTTATTGTCACAAAAAATATGTATAAATATAATCATTATTTGCGACTCATATCTCTTGAATACTCTTAAATGTAACGTTAATTTAACAGTATTTGTCACACAATTTACTAATGTATGCCTCGTATGCATGTATTGCTTCACTATATTAACATTTTCAACACTAATGATGAGTTTCTGTGCTGTAAGGTATGTGTTGTTTCTTACTTTACCAGATACTACCTGTCCATAAGGTGTGTGTGAACTGCACCGGCCATATACAGGCCGTATACCTGTCACTATACTAACATAGCTAATCCCTGAGCTTAAAATACTAGCCATAGCCTGTAGTAACAGTTCTCTGTAATTATAAATTGTTATCATATTTATTAATTCATATGTAAAGGACGTCAGAATATGCATGAAATGATTATCCGTGAGAACACGCCCCAGGATTTGCCTCCCGATGTGGTCAGATGTAAGTCTACCTACTTATCCATACATCCATACAATGCCATACCTGTCACACCATACCTGCCATACCATACCTGCCATAACATACCTGCCATACATACCTACCCATAGTATGGGTCCCATACCATTGCCAGTCTCCTAAATACAACACAACAACACACAAGTGCTTTGTTTTAAGTTATCTCTCACTCTTCAAAAAAGTGTCTCTCTTTTCCCGACAAACGATTTTTTCAATTGTTTTTAATCGTGAAGTTTTGATAAAGTTTTCAAACATTTCATTTCCATTTAGAAATATTTTTTGTGAATTAGTTTTTTCATCCCAACAATTATCTGTCGGAATAGTTATGAGAGAGTAATGTATTATAAATACGTTATATTGCTATCTATAATACAGAATATGATATATCTATTTGAATATCTAATCGACAATACATAGCAAACAATGCAACAGATTTTGATATAAAAGTCGATATAAAAGAGGTTTTGAAGGGAAGTGTAGGAGAAGTGGAGAGAAGTAGAGAGAAGTGGAGAGAGAGTGAGAGAGCGTTTGAATGCCTCCCAAATAGGAGTCATTTCCAGGATATGTCTGTTGTGTTCACAAGAATGACATCCAATTGAATACATATTAAACCATACTTTGAATCCTTTGTTCATCACTCCAACCATTCATACCATTGTTTTGTCTATTCTTCAGCCAATTCTCGAGTTGAGGATCAGTTCGACAATTTGAGCGTTGATTTAGCGATCATTCGGAACCGATTCGAGTTTGGATCCGAAGACAATCACAACCACAACAACCACTCATCCAATATCGATAAGACCACTCTTCAGAGGTCTGACAGTATTCACGTTCGGCTCCAGAAGTAAGTGATTGATCCACCAATTGATCACATTTGGCCACTTCTACACCACTGTTGGCAATGATATTGACAATTAGTGTTGAGATGTGATGGCATTGAATGTATTGTGAGTTTATTTGTCATTAATTTGTTTGAATATTGACTACAGATATCAGAGCGCAGTGTCGGGTGAGAAAGAGATGACTGATTCAGACACTGACGGACCCAACAGTGAGCCCGAAGAGGAGCTCAAATCAGGCGAGAAAGTGGTATTCAGTGATCTGTCGTCGTTGAAGAGCCAATGGGAGACCGCTTCCAGTAATGGCAGCAAAGACGAGGCCGAAGCCACTCGTGACGAGTTGGAAGAGTTGCGAAAGAAGTTGAGTTTAGGTCGATCTGAATCGCTGAAGGAGTCCTACGAGAGAGCGGTGAAGGAGTCCAACACCGAGAGTGCGGCGAATCGATCCGATGCTTACGTTTTTGACACTTCCGTCAAAACCGTTTCCATTAAAGAGAAGTTTGAAAAAGGATTTCCTGAAAACGAAACCGAAAATCAAAGGATTGAGAGACAGAAGAGGGAAAGAGAGGATGAGATTCAAGTTCTCGCCGACAGTGAGAGCGCCTCCAAAGAGGCCCGAAATATGTTCAAACAAATCGACGTTTCGGTGACAACGGCGCCGACCGCTCAACTCAACGGACACTCAAACCATACAAACGGTTTGAGCAAAAAGTTAACGAACGGAGATGTCGTCAAAAGTGGTGAATCCAATGGCGAAGACTTGAGCATAGATTCGGCTCAACTTCTGGAGAGGTTTTCCTACTTTGAGAATCTGCCCAAAGAAGTGCCTAAAGAGCCTCAAAGACATCAAATAACTCCGCCAAGAGATGTGACTCAAGTCTATGAGAACACGATTGCAGACAATCAGAACCCGAATGTCATCCGATCTTCGGATGCGATTGAAGACATCCCAAAAGTAGACACAACGAAGAAAATGCTCGACAAGTTTAAAGCACTTGAAAGTCAAACCGATAGCCAATCCAATGCTCCCAAACCTCTCAAACGTATAACTCCTCCGAGAGATTATAACGGAGAGAATGAACACAAACCGAGAGAGACATCACCGGAAAGGGATCCAAATATAAGTGAGTGTTAATCAATCGATATATTATTGTAATTAAATATCTAATGAATTGAATGATTGAATGAATAGTTAAATCGAGTCTCAAGAATGAGGAGAACATTGAAGTGGAGCCGGAAAAGGCTCGCAATTTGAAGGCCAAGTTTGAGAACTGGTCGGCAGAAGTGGATCGCGAGAACAAGAAGAACAATGGATACGATGACGAGGAAGAGTTTATTCCACACATCGATACGACCAAAAACCTGAGGGCAAAGTTCGAAGCCATCAAAGACGAGAGCAAACCCATCGACAAGCCTAAGATCCGAGTCAATCGATTTGTGGTAAGTGTTTGATTATCTGATGAATGCTTTAATAACAACCAAATACTATGAGAATAATGTGATATTTATTTAATAGATAATCATTTACTAATTGGTATGCAATGCATGAACGCATTGATTGCAATAAAAACACAAATAATATCATTTTATTATAACTTTGTTTTGATAAGAATTAATGAATTCCAACCCAAATATGTCATAATATTAATTTCATAGACAATAGGATTTTTTGCTAATTTTGTAACTGATTTCCGTATTGTGTGCATGAATTTAATTGCCTGACTGTGCAATAGATTTAATATGTTTGGCAATTCACTTATACATTACTCCAAATTTAATTTAATTAATGCTATAATTAACGCATTAATCTAATAGATTAAACCGAAATCTAATTGAAAACTATATTTTAAACACTAGATTAATGTATACATGACTTCTTTACACATTTCCTTTCAGTGACCACTTCTGGCCTTTTAGGACAAACTGAGAGCAACGAGTTTATGCCTCAATCAATGCCTCAAATCTTTATATTTCTTTATAACTATAAATGAATGATTGATATCTTACTCTTGTTATAACCTTTTCTTTAAGTATATCTTTACAAATCATTTGTGATTTCTTTTTATTTATTTTGAGCTTTAATTATAAACATATAATATATTTTGAAAAGAGAGAAATTACAACAGAAAAGTAATATAATTGTTAACTTATTTATGGTATTTAAGTTAATATATGACATATTTATGTGAGAGAAAGAGACGACAGAATCTCTTGAAATAGTTGTGCTTTTGTGCATTGCATACGACTTTTATTATTACAATTTTATTTATTATTAAATTTATAATACCTTTTCAATTGATTTTAGCGCTCATTGTATTAGTGTTTCGAAATAATCAGTGAATTAATCAATAAAATCTCAAAAACAGATTAGATTTTAAAACTCAATTCATTAACTAAAATGCATAACAAATTAATGTCTGAAAATGAATGGTAATTGTAGTGCGAGACCAGTGATAACCCGTTGGACGTGTGCTATGTTTGCCGAACCAAACTCTATCCGATGGAGAAATTAGAGTTCAGTGGTATTCGTCTCCACAAGAATTGCTTCCGATGTATAAAATGCAAATGCAATCTCAGGTACGGAACCCATCGCTGGGTCCCATCATTCACAGCGTGTTTAGCGGCGTTTGTCTAATGATTTGTTATGTTTTAATGACTCAACAGATTAGATAACTTCACGATTACGGCTGAGAAGCTGTACTGCATTCCGCACTTCAAGCAATTGTTTATGGAAAGAGGCAATTATGACGAGGGCTTTGGTCTCGAACAGCATAAGAACAAGTGGACGAACAAATGCATCAATAATAATGACTTGATTATCAATAACAACAACAATAATAGTCATCTCATTTGCGACGTGAACGCCAACGACGCGCACATCGATTATGCAAATCAGAGCGTTTCCGACGCTTCTGACGCCTCCGACACTGAATTAAGTGTTGATTAAAAACAAAAGAAAGTGTGAAATAACTGTTATTTAATTCATTAAGAAATTTATTTTCGATATTTCATTTGAGCAGTCGTTTGAGTTGTGTTTTTCTCTGCCAAAAAAAAGTTTAGCTCAAAATATGTTAATCCTATTCGAGTTCTTAAGCTTTAAGGCAATGCTAGGAAATGTTCATAAGTTTTGATTCATTGGTCTTTTGCTTAAACAACGATTAATTCGTCAGTTCTTGTGATATGTATTAATTGAAAGGTTACTCTCATTTACTATAGAGTGGGAAGAATTATCTGATGATATGAATCAAACGATTTGTTAAATAGAGTTGACGTTTAGTTTATAATTAAAATGAAATTAAAAATAATTTTATTTTATTTTTATCGGTAATCAGAATATCAAACAAACAATTATTTACGGATATTATTATAATTATGCATTATTTTACATTCAATCTGTTAGTAAAAATATTTTCTATTGAGACTTAATTGACAATTCATTACGTATTGTCCACTATTTCATAATAGTTTTATTCAATTCTTTACATATAAATGTTATATAATATGTATTTTTCTGATATTTTTAAATATTCTTTTAATCGCAAGTTTTTAAAACAATTATTTTTATGAAATCTTTTTAGTGAAGTATAAACTTATGGAAATAAAAATTTAATATTCAATTCATTTCTTGTTTTATAATGTATTCAAAGCACATATTCTCAGAGAATTGTGTTTTGATTTATGAGAAGTTGTTCTGCAATTTAGTAACATTTTTTTGTAAACAATTTCATACAAAAGGCATATTTTAGACGAATAAAGGGAAATATATCCGATTATTGATCGCATTCTTAGAGAATTACTATTATTCTTATATTCGTGCGATTTTTGATACAATAATACAATTTTGTTTTAAATTATGGATTTCTATTGATATTACAGTTATAATGCATATCAGAACTGAATACTTATTATTGTTTAATAATTTTTCTTTATTAAAATGTATTTTAAGATGTTTTTAAATTGATTGTTGAAATGAAATGTTTTGTAGACTTTTTCTAATATTTAATACCTTATAGAAGAAAGTTCTATAAAGTCATCGATTGCTTGTATTTAATCAATAAAGAAAATGTTTATGTATTTCATTGACTATTATTTTCAACTGCAAAACATGTTATTTTTAAATTGCAAATAATGTTTTCATGTTATCAATCAATTATTTAAATCTCTTTTATCGTAATAAATATTGTGTTTGTTTTAAGTTCGTTAAGAAATTGATATTTATATTCAGTTCTTGACGTCAAATAAAAATTGATAATAAATTGACGAAATGAGAGCAAAAATATAACAAATTATGGATTAAAACAAAATAGAAATTTAATTTTCTTGAATAAAAAAGTAATAATCGTATAACACGTTACGGATTGATACCAATGATTGATTATAAAAGCCAAAGGTTTTCATTCACTGCTTTTCATTGAATATTCCTCTTTTCCAAGTTTGGACATAACGCAGACGTGCTATCATTATATGCAAAGTAAACATTTTTAATTAGATTTACCTCTACTTCCATATGAAAGCAATTTTATATAATGTGTACAAAAGTTTTACATTAAGTTCTCGAAAGTATTCGTTATAATCCATATTACAGCCAACGATAAACTTATTGGGAATATTGAATCCAACATCTGTTACAACCATTTCAATCAAAATCAGTCAAATATAGAAATATAAATCACAACTAAATGCTCATTGATTTACAGTCAGGAGTGTATCCATTGCTTAGTGGCGTCCGCTTCACAAAAAGACTCGTCACTCGAATTGATTTTAAATCGTATTCTTTTAATAGTTCCCTGAGTTTAACCATTGTATTGCCCGTATCTATGATATCCTCCACTATCAATACATTCTGTCAAAGCAGACAATTTTGTCATTTAAATTACATTAACATACAAATAGTGTACTCTCAACACAAATAGTAATTGTGTATACCTTTCCTCTCAATGATTCTAACGATTCAATTCCAATAACTTTCAAATTGGAAGTCGACTTATCGTCTTCATAGCTCTTGAGTCTTATAAACTCGACTCTAATTTGTTGTGCAAAGTCTGTGCCATTATATGGTTGCGAAGGGTCTGCGTAACGATATCTATAGAAATGTCTGATTTTGTCCAACAAGTCATTGAAGAAGACATAACCGCCTTTAAGGACACATAAAGCGACAAACGATTCGTTCGCTAAATCAATAGCGATATCACACGCGAGTCTCTCGATTCTGAATGATTACATTACATAACATCACTATTACTGATAATTATATCGTTAATGTTATAACGAAATGGCAATATTGCAAACCTATCCTGAATGAAACCCCCGGGAATCAAAACTCGATCCAAATTCTTAGCCAAATGTGGGTTTATGTTAAACGATTCCAACGCATAACCCGAAAAATCATCGCTAATCTGTTTATATCAAACAGCACTTGAATTAAGTTATACTTAAGCATATATTTTATTCAATTATCATTTCTTACGGTAATAAATGGACTTTTGGTAATTTTCAAACTCATTGTCTACCAAGTTGTTCTGTAATCAAAATAATTTTACGATTATATAAATATTTAATACATAATAACTAATTTGGTATAAAATTAAATTGTAATGAATTCTTGGCAAAAATCAATATCAAGTGAAATGTGAGACAATTTATATGATTGTTGAGAGACTAAATGACTCCAAAATATGGTTAACAACGAAACAATGCAATGAATGTCAAAATATCAAAAATTAAATTTAAATGACAACTTGACATAATATGTAACATATTTTGATAACCAAATCATACAATTAGTCACAAATATAATCATGTGAATTAAATGTACTCACAAATCACAAAGAAATGTAATTTTAGTTATTTCTATAATCAATATTTTTCTTGCATTCAAACGAAGTTTACTTTAAAACTGTATTACAAATCATTTTAAATTTATTAAATTTTTTAAATGAAAAATTGACGAATAACTTATACAGTATTAAATATCACATTACTATTACTTAATTAGTTTGTTATGCAATTCAAAGCCATTCAACTAATGGCTATAAAAATAGTCTAATGATAAGAAAAATTTTATTAATCTAGAAAGAAAGAAAGATAGAGAGAAAGGAAGAAAGAGAGAGAGAGAGAGAGAGAGAGAGAGAGAGA